AAGAGAGAGATCTTGTAGTCTCATCTTCCCCCAAACTACTTGTAAGTTTCAGCAAAAGTAAGAGTATCTTAACTTTGTAAATATATACATACTATAATATTTTTTATGCAAGCCAATACAGCTGAAAGTTTAGACTTCAAGGCCGAGTATCTGGCTCCTATTTATTGTTTTTCCTTTATAATTTTCAATATATATATATTATAATATATGAGAAATTAAGATAATAAATATGAAAGACCAAATAGTCCAAAATATTATATGATATTGTTTAAATTTCATTAATTTTTAATTAAATATTTCAAATAAAAATGTCTCGATTTAAGTTTTAATTTTTGCAAGTCAGTAGTTAATCCGATAAAAAAATCAGATAAATCCGATCTATTGCCTTTAACCCGAATTTCAATTCGAGTCACTATAAAAAATTGCCTTTGGACCTAAACATCCTGACAAATGCTTCGCAGTCGATCTCTGAGGGGCCCGGCCCCCATTGTCAAGCAGCAAAGCTTTTCCTGCGTGTGGGCCTAAATGGGCAACCTTTTTTGCTACTTGAACTTTCCAGGTTACTGGTCCAGGGATGCACTTGACACTTGACAGGCCCATTTACATATTTTTCGAAGTGTATGAAGGGATCAATCATCACTCCCATTATAAAACAATCACGTGTTTAGCCATATTTGTAAAAAAGAATTATAATTTACTCATGGTGCATCCGAAGACTTCGCTCAACGACCAACAGAATTGGTCAAGTCAAAAAGGATCTTTGGACTTTTACCGCCCTAACTTACTTTTTGAAAAGAATAAAAATTTAATTTGAGACTACAATTAAAAAAAAAAAAAAGCTAGCATTGATTATGTATTTTAACTGAGGTCATAAACTGTGATACATGGAAGAACTTCTTGCACTTTGATAAGTGAGTTGCTGAAGGCAAATTGAGCAAAAAATAACATCAATTTTTTAAATTTTTTTTTATTCTGTAATTACAAGTTCAAAGGTAAATTGAACTTTTTTTGCCTTACTGATACATGAGTGGAACATCAATCGCACTGTTGCATAATTATTTATCACTACATGTTTTTCATTAAGTATAGTTGAAGTCATAACGATTATACATTTTTGTTACAATTTTAGTAGCAGGCAAAAAGAAGTTGGCAACTAAGAATCCTGCAGACTCCTATTTCTGGATCTTCCAGGATTTGGGGAAAATGAAAGTTATAATTCCAAAATCTTGAATTTGTCGAGATTTTGTAAATAAGATAATCCATTTTTGTTTAGAAAAACTAGTCATTTTGGCTCCTGTAAGCTAATAGAATACTCATCCGAAGAATTGAAAT